CCCCCCCAAGTACCACAATGAAAGACTAGTTCAGGAAATAAGGAAGAAGGCTTCAACCAAAGCACAGTGTCCTAAAAAGGAAAGGGTTATGTAATAATAGTTTAACTACAAAACTGTATGCACTTAAAAGGAAAGTGGCACCTACTGTGGCTAATGAACAGGAAGTAAAATTAAAAGTAATATTCGAGATCATATGAATTGCACGAAAACTCTGGCATATGTGGGCACTTAGATAACCTAAGTATGGATGCAATAGGGGGCAGAAAGACCAGGAAAAGTAATAGCTTACCTTGAAAGAAAGCTAAGATGGAACGAAAGAAATTATTCAATCAATGATCCAGAGTTGGTTACGTTATGAACGCACTTAAGGGTTTGGAGTTTTATACATGCGGCATATACAACTGTAGAAGATTCTGGTATGCGTTAAAAGAAAGAATTGAGCCCAGGTCATAAACGAATGATTAAATTGTTAAAGGATGGTATCATGCATGTTCCTTAGCGCCCATAGACGGCTAAACAGAATAACTAATACCATGAACCCCAGAGCGGGAGATAATTTAAGCCGACATAAAAGCTAATCAGAAGAAGGAGGAAACTAAAGAGTTACATCAACGAAGTAAATCAGGAATTCGGTTATTGGACCCAAAAATTATAGAAATCGTGATTGAGAATATTGCGGAATTACTCTCAATATCAAAAGTACAAGGGATATATTACAACAACCATATTCTATAACGGCTCTATGATAAAGCTAGTTAGAAGAAATACTAGCCTCATAAGAAGTTAGTATGAACCCACCGAATTGTGTATGCCCAGAGGTGCAAGTATTATAATAGAGCTTCAAGTTGTGAACGTGAATTATACCTATGTAGAAGGGAGGTCATGAAAGCGATAGAAGATACGATGCAAGATTTTAAGGTAAGAAAGGTAAAGGGGAACACCATAAAAGATACTCAAATGCAGAAGGTCGTGAATAGTCCATAGTGCGGATAAAATGCTAGAAGCGTAGGGATTCATTATCCAGGAATGATAGCAGCGTCGTCAGTAGAATACTTCCCAACCTATGGTTTCTAAGTACCGAAAGGTCTAATTAGAGAGTAAAAGAAGAGTTACAAACGATGCGGTGTCTTGCTTGATGTTCCAAAAAATGCATGGGAATTGATCGCAAGCTAAAATATGATAGAACGACAAGGTTTTAGAAAGACAAGAGTAAGGATAACGAGAAGGCAAGTGGGAAGGTGACGAAAATGGATAAGTTCTCAGGATTAAGCCTATGAAAACAAAGGAGCTGATGGTTCCTCTAAGTTGTAGAAAGCTCAATATAGCCTGAATGAACTTAAATGAGTCTAAGACTAATAGCATTTAGAAGAGATGGAATGTTGTAGAATGGGGGTGTGATTATGATAGATAAATGACGATGTTTGGGTCTTCGATTGAGTAATGGTATGACGAAAAAAAAGGATTTCATGATTTGGACAAGATTAAAATAGCCACGTAAGGCAAGTCGCATTGGGATGCTATGAAATACGGTTATGGAAGTATAATACCGTATCACCCAGATGGATCAGAAAAAGCACTTATTCCATGATGCAAGTAATATAAGCCCTAGTGGCAATAGATTACGTAAGAAATTTCAAGTTATCAATGGATGATTATAGATCAACATTGAGGTGAATCAACAATGGATGAGTAAAAATTGCAAAATACAAGATGAGATTGGGCCATCAGTCTTAAGATAAATAGTAATGAAGAAGTGTTTAAGTATTTAGCTTTATGCATATAGGATAAGCAACGAGTGTAACCTGGAGTTTGGTAGCAGACCTCGGTAGCAATAAATCAAAGTAAGAATTTTGGTATAGTATGGCATACTTAGATGTAGTAAAGCTAATGACGCCCAAAGGGACAACTTGACATAATTTTGTATATGTTCACAAAGTGAAGCCTAGAGATTGGCTAAAATTTGGAAGAGAAGAGAAGGGTCAGGCACACATACAAAGTTAGAGTAGTAAAGACTGCATGATAGAAGGTAGCAACAATTACCAGATTAGAAGGATTCTGACTACAAGTCGTGGTGTAAGAAAGAGGCTTAAAGGAGGGAATGCCCTAGCCTTTGGGATTCATTCACAGAACAGTCGCCTAGATGGCAAGAGGAGTACTAAAGTATTCGCAAGAGTTATGGGTTATGAGAATGATAAGTGCATCAGTCAACATTCGAGGGCGAATTTACCAAAGGGGGGAATGATGTTACACCCCATATTTTCGTACTTGGAAGTACGCCTTAAGTAAATTGATATAAAATCGGAAATGAGATGTTACGCCCCGCATTTTTGTATGTGATGGTTCATCGTAAGTTAATCGATGTAAGCTCGGGGATGAGATTATTTTGGAATTATAAGAATTATGTTGTTTCCAATAAGGGATAAGTAAATTCGTGAAGGTGAGAGGGTAAGCAAATTAAAGAAAAAGAGTTTTGTCGAAGTTTGTCAATTTGGGATAAAATACGGTCTGAGCTATAATACCTGGTATTTATGAACTAGTATCATACAAGGTACCACATGGACATGATAGTAAGGTGTATAAAGTGTGTTAAGAGAGAGTAGTACTTTAAATGATTTGAGATAATTCTTAATTATGTGGGTAATTGGTTAATTATTAGTTAATGGGAGATTAACTAATTGATTAAGAAGTTAATAGGTGGTTAAGGCTTTTGGATAAGCCCCAACGTGGAAGCCATTACTATGCCCATTTATATGACTCTTAAATCATTGCAAGGTGGCATAGTTAAAACAATTTTGGTGGCCAAGTCTTTCAATGTGGGGCCACACCACAAGACTTAAAAAGACCTATCTAAATCACTTAACTAGGTGCATATATCTCCAAAATAAGGTGATATATTACAAGCTTAATCCCTACATGTGTACTACAACGCACTAAAGGGTTCAATACTGTGGAAAAAGAAGAAAGTATAAGTTTGGAATCTGGAAATGATAGGAAAATCAAAAGTCATACAAGAAGTTGCACATGGTCACTCGCTTTTATAATTATTCTCTTACTTGGACATTGGGAAAATTTCAACCAGGTTCATTATAATTGATTCTTTGGCAAAGAATTTCCAATGAAGCTTTCTTTACCTATATCTTCTTTCTTTGGGAGGGAAAATCAAAGCTTGGAACATGAGATTATAAATACCAAACTATTTTTGAAGGACTACCTAGAATATGAACTTCAACAAGTCATACGAAATCATTTTGGGTAATATTAATGTAAGGATTTTAAAATTCAACAAGATTTCTTAGCATCTTAGCAACGTGGGATTTGCGATTCTAAGGGAGTACGGCGTAATCTTCTTCAAGAATATCATACGGACTTTTCCCTACTTCGATCTGCCGTTACGTGTTTTCACAAAAGACGTGTGCTAGAGGGATTGTCAAAAGAATCGGCTCAGGTATGTTAAGGTTATCCCTTCTTTCTTTTTGGCATGATTTATACGACATGAACGAAACGAGAAAATGCACAAATTCCATAAATGACTCTATTCATAGAAATACTAGAGATGTCGATGTTCTTGATTTCTTATGTGTCATATTATTCTATCATCTGTTCATGGGTATCAAAAATACGTAAGTTGGTAAAATTTATTTCATGATATTTGTTAGAGGCATAATGGTCTTATGACGTACTGAGAGATTTTATTAACATATTTTCACATGCCTTTAAATATGCACATTGAGCCATAACCAGATGGCATTATATATGTGTACACACACACANTCTATGCACGACATGACATTTTTACGTATATGCATGACATTTTAAATATTAAAGGATTTCACAGAGCTATTCAGATTTATATGTCGAGTCTTTTACTCCATGTTTCTCTCATGTCTATTGTCTACTGATTTTCATTCCTTACATACTCGGTACATTATTTGTACTGACGTCCCTTTTGCCTTGGGACGCTGTGTTTCATGCTTGCAGGTCCCGATAGACATATCGAGAGTCCTCCAAGTAGGCAATCAGCTCAGTGGAAGATGTTAGTGCACTCCATTTGTTCCGGAGTTACTTGTTTGGTAAGTATAACTTAGATGTGTACTGTTTGGTATGGCGGGGTTCTGTCCCAACCTTTATGATATTATGTATTCTTAGAGGCTTGTAGACAGATGTCATGTATACAGATTCTTGTATGGTCTTGTTGGCCTATATTTTGAGTATATAAAGGATCATGTCAGCACTATAGGCTCGTACATCATATGTATAAGTTTGAATTACATGTTGGATCGGCCAATGTCAAGTATTTGTTTTATTCTACTTATCTCATGATAGCCTCTCTAGCTCATTTACCTATGATAGTATGATACGAAAAGATACGTTATGTTGGTACTCAGTTGAGTAAGGTATCGAGTTTCCGTCGCGGCCCATCGGTTTGGGTCGTGACAAACAATCAATGAAACCAAGGTTGGAGTGGCGGTAATCAAGGATATCGAGGTGGTGGATCTTCCCAACAATATCAAAAAAAATCCTACCAACCTCCTCCATACAACAACCAAGGTGACTCTTCAAGTGACAACCACCTTTTAGGAATGATGGAAAGGATGCTCAAGAATCAAGAGCAATCCAACAAAGAGAGGCGAGAAATGAATCAAGTGGTGGCTTCCCATACCACTTCAATCAAGCATATTAGGACTCAACTGAGTCAAATCTCTTCTCAATTGAATGTGAGACCACCAGAATCATTGCCTAGTGATACAATTCCAAATCAAAAGAGAGATGAGGGAATAAAACCTGTGTTTGCCATTTCCACAAGGTGTAGCGAAATTCTAAATATGAAATCCGTTGTGTTGAAGACGATGATGATGAGAGGAGTTGCCTCTCAAATATGCTTTTCATAAGGTCAAGAGTTCCAAAGTTCCTAAGGTTGCTTTCCCAAGGTTAATGATCCTCCAAAAGTTGATGAAGTTCCTTAGTAAGATGTACCTCTCATGGTCAATAAGACACCCTAGATGATTGAAATTCCCAAGTGCAAGGTGCCAATTGTAAGTACAATTGTTGTTGAAAAGGTGCACCAAGCACCAAACACTTATCGAAATGCGAAAGAGGTCCCTTCAAAGGAGAAAGAACCAATCAATGAGGCAAGAAAGGTAGAACATAGAGTGTACAAGCAATTACCGAGACCACCTCCTCTGTTTCCACAAAGATTTTCAAAGCAACAACAAGAAGGTCAATTATAAAAGTTCTATGATATGTTGAATCAAATTACCATCAATGTGCCTTTTGTAGAAGCTCTTAAAAAGATATCAGGTTATGCCAAATTCATGATGGACTTGGTCACGAAGAAGAAGAATGTTAATTTTGAGACCATCAAGGTTACCCACCAATGTAATGCAATCATCTCACATACTGAGGTTAAGAAGATAGAATGCCTAGGGGCTTTCACTATTCCTTGTGTTATTGGGGTTGACAAGATTCGCAAAAGCTTTGCGTGATTTGGGGGCAACTATCAATTTGATTCCCTATACTGTATTTAAGAAGATAGGTTTGGGGGATCCTCTACCATAATGAAGTTGTTAATGGCGGATCAAACATTGAAAAAACCATTGGGTGTCATTGATGATGTCCTTGTCAAAGTGGATCATTTTTATTTTCTCGTAGACTTTGTAATATTAGATTGTGAAGTGGATGTAGAAATTCCAATCATCCTTAGTAGTCCTTTCTTGGCCACCTGGTGAGCTATTTGTGATGTTGAGGCGGGAGAGCTCAAATTTAGATAGAATGATGAAGAGGCAGCTTTTCATATTCAAAAGTCAATGAAATAACCACGTGACTATGGTGTGATATTCGTAGTTGATATGGTAGATGATGCGGTTGATGATGACATAGAATATATTTGCATGGAAGATCTCTACAAGCGGTTCTCCTCAATTCGAATAATGAGGCCATGGAAGGGTACAATGAAATCATGATGACTAAGGAGGGACTTAGTTCATATTCTTACATGCCTAAGAAGATGTCCTTTGACTTGGAAAATCGAGTTATTCCTCCAACCAAACCTTCTGCCATTAAGCCACTAAAGTTCAAGCCAAATTGGGTTGATCCAACAAACTTAAGAGTGTCTCAACTCAATGCAATAGATGAATTTCAGTTTCAAGCATATGAGAGTGATTTTTTGTATAAGCAAAGAATGAAGTTCCTCAATTGCAAGAAAATCATCAAAATGGAGTTCCACCTCGGGGACTTAGTTATTCTTTATTCAAAGTTTAAGTTATTCCCAAGCAAGTTGAAATCAAAATGGTCTGGGCCACTTAAGGTTATGTATGTTTACCCCTTTGGTGTTGTGGATTTAGAATATGGTGATGGCCTTAGAATCTTCAAATTGCATGGGCATAGAATCTAACATTATTTGGGCCAATTTGATAGAGGAAAAGCAGTTTTAAAAATTCAGTTGGAGGAACCCCTAATGACTTGATTGGTATTGGACTTTGCATCGGGCCACGACGTTAAATAAGGTGCTTCTTGGTGTTACGACCCGGCCGGTCTTTTTAAGAATTAACGCCCTGATCCCCTATTAACTACTTTTACCGTGATTGTTTCTGCTATTTTGATTTGTTGGGATAATTTGTGGCAAGTATCGGAGTGTTTTGGGACACTTAGTCCCTCAATGAGAGCTTAAGCTTTAAAATTTGGACCGCAGTCGGAGTAGTGTGAAGACAGCCTCGGAATGGAATTCCGTTGATTCTATTAGCTCCGTTGAGTGATTTCATGCTTAGGGGCGTGCTCGGATTGTGTTTTGGAGGTCCGTAGCTTATTTAGGCTTGAAATGCTGAATGTTGAATTTTTGAAGTTTCCGAATCGTTAGTGAGATTTTGATATCGGGATCAGAATCCGATTCCGAAAGTTGTAATAGCTCCATAGTGTTGAATGTGACTTGTGTGCAAAATTTGGGGTCATTCGGACTTGGTTTGGTTGGTTTTATCATCAGGTATAGGATTCTTGAGATTTCTAGTTCCTAAGGCTTGGATTGGAGGGGGATTCGTGGTTTTAGCATTGTTTGATGTGATTCGAGGGTTGGAATAAATTCGTATGATGTCTTAGGATTGGTTGGCATGTTTGGTTGAGGTCTCAGGGGCCTTGGGTGAGTATCGGGTGCTTGACGGAAGTTGAATTGGACTTGGGAAAAACTGAGATTTGGATGAACTTGTCATAATTGCACCTACGTGTGTGGCACCGCAGAAGCGGTTAGGGAACCGCAAGAGCGGTCTGAGGCATTGGTGAAATTGGTGGCAGATGCGGCCCATGGACCGCAGAAGCGGACTGCATCTACGGGTAAGTGGTCGCAGGTGCGGAATCTGGGCTTTTAATGAAATATCACGTGCGGTTAATTTGCCGCAGAAGCGGGACCGCACTCGTAGAAGCGGAAATCGCGGGGCAGTAAAAGGGAAAAATGAGGGTTTGAACTCATAACTTGGAAAACGATTTGGAGCTCGGTTGAGGGCAATTTCTCGAGGGTTTTTGAAGGAGAAACATTGGGTAATGTTTTATATCTTGATTTTGATCCTAGAACTATAATCTATTGTTCTTTTCCTCTTCTAATTAAGGAAAATGGGGGTAAAAGTTTGAAAATGGGAGAAAAGTTTCCCCAATTAAAAAATTTGAGTTTTGAGTGAGACTTTGACGTCAGATTTTGGTGATTGTTGTTCGAGTGTGTTCATGAGTGATCGGGGGTTCTGAATTTGTAAAATTTATCCAATTCCGAGACGTGGGCCCGGGGGATCTTTTGGGCAATTTTTCTTAATTTCGCGTGTTAGCTTCGAATTCATTAGTTGAATTAGTTACTTGAAGTTATATTTACATTATACAATTAATTTGAATAGATTTGGGCCGTTTTGAGTCGGGTACTCGTGGCAAGAACGTGATTTCGAGTTGATTGAGCTGGTTTGAGGCAAGTGGCTTGCCTAACATTGTGTGGAGGAACTCACCTTAGGATTTGGTATTATTGTTATATGAGTGCCGTGTACGTGAGGTGACGAGTGCGTACACGTGCTAGTTGTTGAAAAATCCCATTTTCATTAAGTTAATACCTAAGTTTTCTTGTAATTGAGCAATACTTGTACTTGAAGCCTCTTGCTTAGTTTAGGAAAAACATGCTTATGTGATTTAATTTCCTTACTTGCTTTAATTGCCTACTTTCACTCTGTGCAGCACGTTAGAGTAGAATTTTTTGCTTAATTCTAGAATAGAACTGTAAATTATTCTGAGATTGATGTGTGTTTACTTTGGGATTATGGGACGATATCCTGGGAGATCCCCCTGGATGTTTACTTTGGGACGATGGATCGATATTCCGGTAGATCCCCCCGCACTTTATGTTTGGGACTACAGGACAATACCCGGTAGATTCCCCGTACTGGATAATTACTTTGGGACTATGGATTGGTATTCCGGGAGTTTCTCCTATATATTTATGATTCGGACTACGGGACAATATCCCAGGAGATCCTTTGCACATTTACGTTTGGGACTTCAGGATGATATCCTGGAAGATCCCCTGTTGCTGTTTTTGTGTACTGAGTTACATTCTTTTTGTGATTTTATTTGTTGTAGACTGTTAGCATTTTAATTATGTTGTCATATTCCATACCGCTTTACCTTATTTTTCATCTATAACCAGTAGTGCCATGACCTTTCACGACACTACTCGACCGAGGTTAGGCTTGACACTTACTGGGTACCGCTGTGGTGTACTCATGCCTTTTCCTGCACATGTTTTTTTTCGTGTGCAGATCCAGGTTCTTCGGCACAACCATATCATCAGTGAGGCGAGGCGACCTTCAGAGACTTCGAGGTATATCTAATACATCTGCAGACCGAGGAGTCCCTCTCTATTTTTCCCTCTAGCTTTAGCTCTCCTGTATTTACTTTTGTTTAGACATTTGGAGTAGAACGCTTTGTAGCTATTCCACAGCTTGTGATTTCATGAAATTTCGGGTTTTGGGAGTGTTGTTATTGTTCGAGAGTGTTATTATGGTATATGCCGAGCGGCATTTTAAACATTCATTATTATTTTTCCCGTAAATTGCTAATTTTGTATCTTTATTTCCTTTTTCCGCAAATTGTTAGGCTTACCTAGTCGTCGAGACTAGGTGTCGTCACGACAGTTCACGGAGGGAGAACTTGGGTCATGATAAGTTGGTATCAGAGCACTAGGTTCATAGGAGTCATGAATCACAAGCCGGTTTAGTAGAGTCTCGCGGATTGGTACGAAGACGTCTTTACTTATCTATGAGAGGCTATGTAACTATTAGGAAAATTCCACTTCATTTGATTTCCTTATCATGTGAGATTCTTGATATCACAATTCTAAACTTTTGTCTTTTATTCTTTCATAGATGGTGAGTACATGTGCTACCAAAGATGACCAGACACCCGTGCCCCTTGCTAAAGCCGCCAGAGGTCAGGGCCGAGGTAGAGGTCGAGGACGTACCCATAGTGCAGGCAGAGCCCCCGCGCGAGCTGCCACTGAGGAGCCACCAGCATCTCTAGCCGGAGTCCAAGCACCTGATACATCTACTGCTACTATTATTCCAGCTCTCCAGGAGACTCTTGCACAGTTCATGAGCATGTACACCACTCTAGCTCAGGCAGGGTTGATTTCCCCTACTGCAGCCACATCCCAGGCCGGGAGATGAGCATAGACTCTCGCCGCCCGCACCCTTAAGCACCGGGTCCAAGTTGATCAGAACCCAGAGGTTATACTGGTATCGCCTGTGGCCCCAATTCATCCCGAGGATAGGGCAACAACTTCAGAGGATGAGGAGCGCAGGCTTGAGAGGTTCAAGAAATAGAAGCCTTCTGTATTTAGTAGTTTAGCATCAGACGATGCCCTAGGATTTCTGGAGGAGTGTTACTGTATCCTCCATACTATGGGTATATCAGGTTCGAGTGGGGTTTCTTTCACTAACTTCTAGCTTCGAGGAGCAGCCTACCAATGGTGGCGTACTTTTGAGTTGGACAGTCCAGCTGAGGCAGCATCCCTTACTTGGACTCAGTTTTCAGATATGTTCCTAACAGAGTTTGTCCCTTAGAGCCTCAAGGATGCATGGCACGCAGAGTTTGAGCATTTGCGCTAGGGCACTATGACTATTTCGGAGTATGATGTCCATTTCACTGACTTGGCTAGGCATGCACTAGCCTTGGTTGCTACAGTTCGTGAGAGAGTTCACCGATTTATTAAGGGGATCATTCCCAGCATCAGTTCTAGCATGGCTCGGGAGTTGGAGATGGATATTTCTTATCAGCAGATGGTGAGCATTGCTAGGAGAGTAGAGGGTATGCATGCTCGGGATAGAGAGGAGAGGAAGGCCAAGAGGTCTCGAGAGTCGGGCCATTATTCTGGTGCCCGTGCTTCAGCTGCAGTCCATCATGGTAGGGGTTATATGAGTCGCCTCGTCCATTCAGCTCTTTTAGTAGCCAGTGGTATTCCAGCTCC